TATGACAGTTTCTTTAAGACGTATTATACGACTAAACGCGTTCCGGACAAGCCGCCACATAACGTTATATTTAATTGTACTACACTGCTGCACGCCTCGTCGTCCTTCATCCGTCATCGTTCGTTTGCTGACCACGAATTTTTTTTTCCAAGATTAACCGAGAACGACCGAAACACTAATATCGTATTCGTCTGCCGCGACAACTGGCAATTTTTTTTCAAGAAGAACGAATCTTCAAGACAATATAAAATAGGATAATAACGTATAATATATGCGTCGGGGAAAACACTGAGCACTTAATTTTTTTTTTATGCCCAGCCGTTGGGTAACTGCGTAATAAATATTGATAAAAAATCGGCAGCTCAAAGAGACGTTCTCGTTTTCAGAGCGTTTATTAATCGCATGATAAATATATTTTATCTCTTTGTTTTGGCCCTTCAAGGTTTCACCGAGTATCTCGGGCGTCTTGTCGTATATAATCGTCTCTCAAGCGACTCTTCGAAATTAATCTCATCTCGGAAATGTGACCATAGATTTTCACTCACATTTTGTACAAGCTAACAAATCTACAACGAGTCGTACAGGTATTGTTTCTGTGAAAAAAATCAAATAATTTTCGTGGGTCATTAATAATTTATTTTTATATTTTGGTAACACGCATGTTTTGATTTCAGCAAACCTCATAATGTCTGTCTAGCCAGTGGTTTCATGAAACCATGTTCTGAATATGAAATTATAAATTACCATAGAACCTACAAATATTGCTGATGAACAAATATCCACGGTAAGAACTATTAAAAAATGAGGTACCTACTATGCAAAGAGTAACTAATATGCAGTAGTTAATATGTTAAATCCATATAAAAATTTTCTGTTTTACTTTCGAAATCACCTCAGACCGAGAAAACGAACTCATTTGATGGATCACAGATGAAAAATTAAGTATGATTTGTTTCCAAAATAGATTTAGTGCGAATACGAGTAAGCGTGCATTATTATAACCACGGTAATATTATTATGGTGTATACTATTTCGTCACATTTAGTTGTTTAAAAATGTATTACGATTTATGACGAAGATCGATTTATCGGTCGAATGAGAGAACAAAATTAATATTTTATATTTACCAATGTTAAATCATCGACGCGATTATCGCGTGGATAAACTTTACTACGATGACGGAGTGTACAGTTAAAATGTGTTAACTTGAACTTTTTGAATTCGAAATATTCGAACTTATTCCTATCATTGTATTCTATTCGAACATTTTGGCCGGTCCCTTCAACTTCGAGTTCACCAAGTCCAACTGTATTATAAAGATAGGTACCTAATGATGATGATGGCATGGAGTCGTATATTAATATTGTAAAAAAAAAAATGTCTACATAATATTATGTACTTAATACGTATGTATCTTATAATAATAGGTAATAAATAACAATAATTATTAATGTAAATATTAATGATATTATTGTATATTGCTATTATGGCGTACAAGGACATTTTTTTTTATTAAGGTCATAACGTCTAATGGTGTATACACTTTTGTTGCATTTAGTTCTTTCCGAATTTATTACAATTTATGACGAAACTCTGCATAGTTACACGGGCTGCTAAAAATTCATTAATCTCGAATCGAATGAGAGAACAAAATATATGGAATTTACACATGTTTAATCATCGATGAGGATGTTGAGTCGATAAACTATTCGGATCTTTATAATAATAACAGTGACGACGATGGCGAGTCGTTTTGTAAATCACCTCCCTCCGTATAATATATTAATATGTATTATAGGTACCTAACCATAACGGGATGGAGTCGCATATTAATTGTAAAAAAAAATTATTCAATGTACGTACTTTACATTGTATATTGCTATTGTCGTGTAATATATATGGCGTAAATGGACATTTTTATAAAGGTCATAACGTCTAATGGGGTTTTAATCGATTATAAAATTATTTATCTACGCAGCGTTATGGTTGATTTAACTTATTCAATTTTCCGGTGTGTAGATTTTTTTTTGTTAGTGTAATTTTGTGCATTAAATTTTCTGAAGCGTTATTATCACCGTGGTGTTTACTGCTGGTATATACAGATTCTCATAAAGTAAAACAAAAATAAATATGATACGTCATATAAATTATATTTTCAGGGGGTGTATTTTTTTTTTTAAAACTCATAAAGTATTATTAATATTGAAATGGTTTGTTTAATCGTTGACGTTAAATTCAGAATTAAAAGGGCGATTTTGGCATACAAATATAATAAATTAAAATGTTTTCATTAATAAAAGGCTATACTTGGGAGTTTTCCCTTTGAAATATTTTTTGTGATGGATTATAATTTTATAATTATCTATTTATCTTATATATAAACTTGAATATATTAATTGAGTTTCGAAAAAAAGTACGTTTTTATAGTCAAGAATGGTAATAGTCGATAGGAAAAAAAATGAAGTTACAAATTCGAATTCATAAATATTTAAAATAAAACAGCAACGTAGAGCTTCAGGATTTTAAATCAAGGTATAATATGAGTTATAAATAATACTGTAAAAGGTATACCTGTGCAGACACCATCATAATTATTATTATAATATTAAACATTGTGTAAAAATCGTGCCACGAAACAAGTTTTTAGACATTTTAAAACAACAATGATTAGAGATAAAAGCGAATCGATCTAACTATGCATAATGTTTAATAAACACGTAAACGTGATTTGAGGGGAAAAAAGTCCTATAAATTCCAGCTGTTCACAATATACATATAATACTTTATAATATTATAATATTTTGTACCTATATAGAATAATGACGTCGACTAAACGTGCCTGTTCCAAGACGATTTTTTCCTACCAAAGTTTAGACGATGGTGGTTCTCATTGGGTTCGGCCTGTACGCCTAAAAAACGGGTGTGCCGTAGTGGTAAATAAACTCTTTAGTTTGTTTTCTTAGGTGTCGCGTACTGCGTAATCGATGTCGTTTTTTATCGTCATATTATCAATATCGCTGTTGACAACAAAACGAAAACGTATTACGATAATAATATTATTATAATAATTATTACTATTATTTCGTATGCATATCGTAAAGTATGATGGTACGAAGTATAGACATTATTATTATAAATAATAATAATAATAATATATTCGTTAAACACGTTTTGAATTCCATCCGCAACGGCGAGCGTACAGTATTATAATATCAATATAATATGTATTACGCGATATCGTTAATTTATCGGTTTCAAACCGTCACGAATGGTTAATTTTTTACCATCTCCTCCGACCGTGTTCTACCCAGCGTTTACGTGTATACATCATTATACATTGTATAACATTTTCCAAGCGTAACGTAATCAGTACTCGCGCAAACAATCGTCGATAATAATAATAATTATTATTATAATAGCATCGCCATTGTCCGGTGTGTAATTTGCTGTAGGCGTACGCATCGCGTTGAAAATAAATTGAAAGGGAAAAATACTGGAAAATTCGACGGGACGTACAATTTACATCGTCGAGACGGCGTTGTTCTATAATTATTATATACCGATACGGTGATAGTTAATGTAATATTTGTGCAGGCGAGTCGTATTGTACACGAAATTACGAGGTTATAATATTATTATTATTATAAGAAAATCTCGATTGTTTTCTCTTAATATCTCTGTTTCTCGCTCTTTTTATTAATCAATGCTCTGATATACGTAATTATCTAGTTTAAGATACCCATTGCGGTGTGGAGAACGTAAAAAATTGCCATTTACTTTATGGGGAACCTCACAGATTCCTGATAACTGTGCCCTGGATCGGTTATAGACTTCGCGGGAATACGCGACCGGGACGTAGAGAAATCTATACTCGGCACCTATGATATCATCGTATAGCATTTCAAACACGAACACGGAAGTCTGCCCCGTAAACCACCCCCACCCTAAAAACACCCTTTATTTGCAGTGTTTGACGATCGCACACAATTATTTATAACAACATTACACTATATGTGCAGCACATATTACCTGTATGGGTACACTGAAGCGAGTGAGATTATCTCTTCTCGATTTTCGTTCGTTTTCATAGTGTGTGTGTGTGTGTATGAGATGGTGTTTCCGCCAGGGTGGATTTATCCAGCAATACGACGTGTACGAAAAATAAAACAATTTGTTTTTTTTTTTTTTATGTACAACAAACGACCGGACATTATATAATTACTATTAAACTATTAACGGGGACGCGATAACAAAACGAGTACTCAACAAAGACGGGGGCGTGCATATAATCGTACGAGAACTTGGGGATGGTTATATTATGTTTATATATATTATGTACAGAGCAACAATTCGTAAAAAATAAACAAAACAAAAACATGAATTTTCCACTGTTAAGTTTGACAACAACGGCATTTTTGCGGGAAACAAACCCCAGCTTGCCGCACGTGTAACCGACATCTATATTATATAATAATAATAATAATAATAATTGTTATTATTATATCCACATACCGAACGTGCGATTGACGATGGCGGATTGTGGGTATAGAAAAATCCTGTATAACGTATATATAATAATAATTATAGTAATAATATTTACACATTCGTTTCTAGAAACAAAAAAAAAAGAAAGAAAATAACACGAGCACGTCTATTCCAACACACGACGTTCGGTCGCAGAAGTCATAATATCGAATGTATTATTAGAATAATATCAAAACGGAATGAACCCGATGTTATGAGCTATGCGATTTAATATCACGTAGTATACCCTGGTATACTTTTGGTAACTCGAGACAAGAGAATTATACACATCACTTCCGGCCTTAATTTTTTCTCGCTCTCGCGTTGTTTCCGTTTAATTATTTTTTTTTTATGTTTCTTAACATTACGGCGTGTAATTAAATGTAAATGTTATATAATAATAATATAATATATAATATTGTAAAAGTATAATGGTAGCTGGTGAGGAGCGGAAACGGGCGGCGGGCGCGCGTCTATTATCTCAGCTGATCGTCGGTCCTGGTGAACGTCCAGCTCAGGATCATCACGCACAGTATCGTGATGGAACTGTTGGATAAGCCGGCCGAACCGGTCTGCATGGCCGCAGGACTCTCGCCTGTAAGAGAAAATTAAAAGAAAAAAGTATGCAGCCGTTGAATAATTAGAAGGATTACTAATTAATAATGATACACAATGATAATGTTATTTAATTGGAAAACTATTTTATACGCTTCGTATTATTATTATTATTATTACGTAGAGTTCGGATGTTGTATCTCTATAACGACGATGTGCAGAGCAATTACAACAAGTAAGTAGAAAGTGTTAGAAATCATAAACAATTCATTGAAAAAGTTTTTGAAAAATGTAATAAATAGGTATACAAATTTATCGTCAGCTTAGGTTATAATTTAAAAAAATAAAAAAAAATTACAGAGGGTACCGATGTAAAAATGTAGGTATATTTCAAAACATATAGACTTATAAGGTTTTGATTTGGATCATACTGATGTAAAATACATTTTTTAAACAATATAGGTACATTACGTCCTGTTGAAACCAATATACGAATATTGCAATATAAAAATAAATATAAACCTTTGAAATAAAACGTATTACATATTTTTTTAGTGGAAATATTGAGGTATTCAAAAAGCCTTATATCAAAAAAGAAAATAGCTAAAAAATAAATTTCCCGTATTTCGACTAATAACAATATTTTATAGCTGAAAACGCTTTCATAATATTATTTATTTATTAGACCAATATTATTAGAAAAAAAGCAATTGCCCTCAACATCCAAACTCCATGGTTATATTATAAGATATTATAATAATATTTAGAGACAACATCAACGTCGAGGCTCGCTGTAGTTGATGATGTTATTCGTATGCGATTGAAACCTAATAATTTAATATCATACCGATTATATCATATAACTTATTTAATTAGTATACATAATATCTGCGACGCGTTAGGAATTATAGGAAATAGAGGGAAACAAAAATAGTAGGTACCTATATAATTAGTATGAGCCAACTACAATTAATGTTGACCTAAAACCTAAATCAACAAGTATATTATAACAACACTATGTCGCTATAATTGTCTATTATAATATTATGAAACAATAATTACATAAATAATAGATGTCAAGAAAGTTTTAAGCATACAGATAGTTTATCGTTACCTATTCGAAATCACTCGTTTTAATGCGACTACGTCTTTGCAATAATGACACGGAATTATATAGAAACAAAACTGAAGGAAAGACAACGAACTGAAATAAAATAATTCTATTCTTGACATAAAAAGGTCACGTTTGTTCGATTAAAATTAATGGGATTGTTTATTAAAACAGGTTGACATAGTCATAAGAAGTATAATCCGGCACGAATATAAGTTTAATATAGTTTCGCGGTAAAACATAACAATATTAAAATATTAAAATACAAATTTTCTGTAGTTGTTTAGTTACAACATTACAATATACGTCTGTAATTGCAATATACATTTTAAATTGCATGTACAACTCATGAAAATCACTGATTAAAATATCTTTTGTCAAGGCGATCCTAGGCGGAAAATGCTGTTCATTCGATCGTCTATATACGGATTTTTCTGGTCAAAACTGGGCGTAATAAAATAATATTGGGTAGTAAAAGCCACGTGATATTGATTTTTTTGTTTTTATCAAAATCGGACATTTTATTATCGTTGTTTGTACTAATCGTCTCTACACACTTACCGTTTAGGACGTGTACGACCACGCTGGACAAGTCTGCGTTCGACGGATTGCACGTGTACTTGCCAGAATCAGCTTGCACCGCATCCTGTATGAGCAGGTAACTGACCGTCACGTCTCCCTTTTCTGTGACCACGCTAACGCCACCGCGAACCGAATCGTAGCTGATCACCTGAAACACGCCAATAATCAAATACTAGATAAATAAAGGGTCAAGTGTTCGAACAGTATATTATTTGACGTTAAATATTATTCCGGATGGTTTGCGGATAAACGTTTCCGGTTAACGGATGGTTATTACACATTTTTACACAGTAAACGTCTTACGCTCGTTTTGTCAAAACACTGGGGCAACGGATAGAAAATTCTAGATATCGAGTTTTATTGTAATGGTAATTATTATTCAAAGGGAATCTCAATTGAGTCCAAGATACGAAAAAATTGAGATATCGAAATTAGACATATTAATAACAATCAACTATAATATATATAATATAATATTATCTGTTGCAGGACTGAGAATTGAATGCATCTAAAAACCACTAAAAAATACTCGGAACCGAGCAAATCAATACATCAAGGAACATGATTTTTAAAAACAGTATATATTATATTATATAAATGAGTATAATTAAAAAAAAAGACTTTACTAAAATAACTATTTTAAAAACTATATCTCAATTACGTTATTATTGTTACCAATTTTACCGAAATAAACTATTTAGATACTAGGTAGATATTATTAGAATATGAAAAAAATTCGTCAACTATAGGTTACTGCTCTACTTTACAGTATGTATAGTTGTCGAGCTTGTCTCGTAATTGAGTAGGCACTATAATGGGTGTGTTAAATATGAATTCAATGATACGATAAAAAGTTATTTTGAGCAAAAATGGTCTAAGTTGTTGGTGACTATAATTAATATTCATATTTTTTTCTTTTTCAATTGTTTTAAAAAACACTGAGAATTTTCAATTTTGACCTCATATCAGAACCAACTAGATCCAATTTCCTATCAGAAACTTTCCTCGAAGCTGATGATCGGAGCAGACAAAAAAATCAAAAAAATCCATCATTGTAAAATCAATAATGGTTGACCAACATTTAATTTATTAACTAGTATCACATGTAAAATAAATGTTTATCAAATTGAATAGGTACATTCTGTACAAAGTATACCAAAAAAAAAATTACATTCAATCGCAAATTAAATTTACTTCGGTCTGCGAGATCATTAAAATATTCTGACAGTGAGTTTGGTCGTCTCACCATCCGAGTACCCTAAGGTTGCACTTTCGAAACTTCCTCCAACTTGTACCATTTTGCGTCGATCCTTCGAAAATCAGTTACGCTAAAAAAACTTCCATCGAATATAATATCTTAACAAACTGGTAATACTCAGTTGGTCGCAAGATGTGATGATCTGTTTAAAGTTTGATTTTGAACTTTACAGCTCGGCCGTTCGGAATTCGGAGAAAAATTACTCGGTGACTATAAACAGACATCATACGAAATACGATTCCCGAGCGGATAAATTACTTGAGCTTGTGATGTTATATTAAACGAGTACGATTATAATATTTAACATGAAATACGTTCAATAAAATACTATAATCATGGGTCTTGCCCTGTCAGCGTTGTCATTAATATTGTTGGTTTACGTTTTTGGTTATTTTTTTTTTTGTATTATGAATATTCTCAGTAAAATTCATTCGATTGTCCATAGGCAAAACAATTATATTATATTATTGTGATATTTTCCTATAGATAATAGTAAAATATAAGTACCTAACCAACTAAAACAAATCGAAATCAACAACATTCCAATCAAAGTAAGAAAATATTTCAAACCCGACAAAAGAATAATAATATCTAACGTGTGCCCAACATTCCCTCATGACGTAATCGAAAAGGAATTCATAAATATTGGTGCAATACTAACCAGTCAAATCGCATACCTCAGAGCAGGCATCTCAAAAGAAGGATTTACCCACATATTAAGTTTTCGACCCCAAATATACATAAAGGCCGAAGACGTGAACAAAATACCAAGTTCAATACTTATAAAATACGAAAATATCAATCATAGAATTTTTTTCACAGACTACAGATGCAAAAAAACTGGACATACTTCATTAAACTGTACAGAAAACATAGACAAATTTATACCTCTAAATAAAAACTAAATTGAAACACCTGAAGCAAATGAAAAACAAAATACAACGAAAAATCCTAACCAAGAAGAAAATCCCGAAATAAGTTACACACAAGAAACACGTCTGATAAACCTAACTAACAATAGAGAAACAGTACACACAGATATATAAATTAGTGAAGACCCTTTCCAATTCAACAGAAATAATGACTGTAGAAATCAACGAAAAAGATAACGAACGAGCAATCGAAATATCACAAACACACGGCGACCGAGTAATTAAAAAATCTAAAATAAACCCAAGATCGAACTCCCGGTACAACGAAAACATAGATACCACACTAGAATTCACAAAATCAGTTTTTGACGAAAACAACCAACTACCAATATCCAACGACACTTTCAAAGCGATAGTCGAAAACGCACAAGGAAAATCAGACATAAAAAAATTATGTGTTCAATACAACATTGAACCAAGTATTCTTTTAAATATTTTAGAACTACGTCGCCCCTACATGAAAAACTCTTCACGTTCCATCAAAACAAGGTTTGAAAAATTATCAAACTAATTTATATCACTTTATAGATGAAAAACAATAAAACTGTTAAAAAAAAAAAACACAACAAATTGTTATTAAAACTATATATTGTATTTAATAATAATATTTTTTTTTGTTCTTCTATTTTATCACAAATGTAATGCTAATATGACCTTTTTTGTCAAAGGAGAAATGCATAATTTCATGATCAATAAAAAAAAAAAAAAAATAGTAAAATATATTAACTAAGAATGTTGTAAAACCAAGCAATATTCGTACATACTATAATATAATCTAGGCCAGGAGATGAGTTGAGGCAGATCAAATATAAAATATATTTAACTATTATAGTTATAAATTGTTTAAATTGTGTTTATGAGGTTTAATTATAACAAAAATGTTCGTGCATTGTACTATCCATTTTTTGTTTGAGTAGTGCTAAGACTAGTAGACAGGTTAGGTTAATTGACGTATTCGATGAGGATTAAAAGTTAAAAAAGTAAGGTTAGTCCTATTGAGGGCCAAACCTTAAAACAAGTGTTAGAGGTTGTATATTACCGAAATGGGCTTATAGTAAGTTTATACCTAATGCATATTCTATGCATTTACACAGAGTTTTCAGTCAATCTAAATATGTGGTACCTAATAATCATAATAGATAACTATAACAATTTATTAAGCTCTCAAATTAATAAATACACGGTTGTTAAAACATAATGTCTTATAAAAATATTGGTATGTACCTAGTATATAGAGTATTATCAAAAAACTTAAATTATTACCCAAATAATATGTGCAAAAACATGGAATGTACAATATAGTACATCAAAGAAAACGATTTAATAACTGGAATGACTATCGTACGGTTTTCGTTGTAATAATTATAATAAAATTTCAAAGGAACCTATAGACGTCATATCGTTTGAATAACGCGTACACCACGAAACTATACAATCGTGCTCTAAACAATACGACAAACACTTAAGTATGATTTCCCTTGTATATGTTATAGTTAATGACTTGGATTAGTGTAGGTCCTAAAATAATATATTATATAGTCATAGTGTCGATTCTCTTAACACAAGGAATGTTAAACAGAGTATTATATACCGTCGCGTCGCTAAATTATAAATTATTAAATTTATATAATATATAAGTTATGTAAGTTTGATGCCTAAATAGAATAATAAATATGTTATTTACTTTTTTCATTTGATTATTTGTTTAGCTTATCATGTTTTTAGTAAAAATCACTGTACTCATTCTAATTTCAAAATTAAATCACAACGGGGGTGATTTTAATTCTGAATAAAATATTAAAAGTCTCCGTAACGTTGTGCACTGGGATTGGTAGAGTCCTTTAAATGGTTATTGATGTGACTTAAGCATATAACAGAAATGTAGTATTTTTTTGAGCACTCATTACTCATAGTTTTTATTTTTAAGAGAAACAAGAAATATATAGGTTTTGGAGGTTTTACAGTGATTTGTAATTATGAAATTTGTACGTTAACACTTCTTGTGTTCATTAACTAAGTAAAACATACTTTAAACATTTCGACTCAGGTAAAATATTATAAACTTACACGCATATTTGTATTGAATCATATATTTTCATTTATTTAAGCCGTCGTTAGGTTTTAAATAGCCGATTAATAGGAATATGATATCCATAATAATGATAAAGAATCGCACGAACAGAAGATATTATAATATCAATATATAATATATGCAGTGTATCCACATGAAACAGTAAGGCCTGTGGCTACCTTCTGCTAAATAATAAGACGTAGATTTATGGTATCATGTCTGGTTTATATTTTGCAGGTGTAATAATAATATAATATAAGTATTTGTACAACGATAGGGACAGTAATCGTCGTGGTTGCGATGCCCAAGCGGGCCGATGCTGGTGGTGGTGCTTAGATGCGACCGACGCTAAGGTGTGGTCTTATGTACAATAAAGGGTTTGTTGTTAAGTGTGGACAACAGTATATGGAAATGGAGTTGACCACCGGCAACGAGTGGCGTCAATCAGCGGGTACTGCCCGGGTACTTACCAACTGGATTTCGATATGTTGGCTGCCCTTGCAGACGATAGGTCTGATATGAGTTTTAAAGATGAATAGCTTAGAATATATGGATAAAGAGCTACGTTTGTTTGTTAGTGGAAAAAGTGAGAACTTCACATCTATAGCTTTGGAGACGACATTCTTGACGTAGGAGGAAAAAGTTAGATTTCCCTCAATATAATGACTCCCAGGTATTTGATTTTGTGTTCCTATTTGATGGATGTATCTCCAAATTGAATACAATCACCAACTTGAGTTTGTTTGTTACTGAACATGATTGCTGATGTGATTGATAGTAATGATTCGTAGTTGCATCCGGTAAATAATAATATGCTAGTTGCCGTATCGACTGGTAAACTACGAGTGTATCGACGTGTGTAACTGTGTTTACTGTCGGTACGGTTTCTGTCCTGGCTTGGCCGGCTTTTGTGTTACGGTACTGGGAAAAGCATCTTTGTCTTCTTCATGACTTCCCCTTTCAGTGGTCTTTCCGTGGGGTTTGTAAGTCAGATGTGTGGTTTTATAATTTAACCCTAATCCCTCCGTGTATGATGTTGTGCGGTTTCTGCGCTGGGATTTGTCGATAGGTTAGGTTAGGTCGTTCCTAAAATGGACCGGTTTTTATACGGTTGTTCTGTTACACATGAAAACTGGGTACACTCCGTTACTCAGATATCTAAAGACTAAATTACTCAGTACCCTATACATATTTTAGAATTCTGTCTGCGGAAGATTGATGATCCAAATAGTCAAGTTTCATGTCCCTTCTAACGGAATTAAAAAATATGTAGGTATAGGGTACTGAGTAATAAGGGAATTTTAATTATACAGTATACACTGTACCCTGTACAGGGTATATACACGGCAGATACACGGTATATATGCAGGTTGATTTTGTTTGAAGTAAGACACTCATTATTTTAAAAAGTCAGCTCAAAATAATATTTTTAAATATTTTTTACCCAATTTAAAGTCAATAAAAAATCAATATATTTTTTTTAACAATATAATTTTTGTAAGTTATTTACTTTTTTGAATTAGGCTTTTTAAGTGTTGAATTTCATATTCCAAAAGATGAATATTACTTAGAGCAATTCATGCATACAAATCTAATATCGACCAAGAAGTTTATTTATTATTAAAATTTGGGTAATTTCTAATTTTTATAGAAAATGGGATATCAAATTCAAATTGTTTTTCAAAATTCAAATTGGATTACTATTTACTAAAAGTACGTAATTTTGTTTGACAGTTTATCGCAAAACATAATGCATGAAAAATCCAATCACCTAGAATCCTCTTAAGATGTACCTAATGTATAATAATTGATAGCAAATGACGTGTGTTGCTTTGTTAACGTTTTCCCGAGGTAGGTACAACGATTCCACCGATCATATTGTCATAGAGGTATATAATAAGTGTGGTATATGATATAGTGTATATATTTTATCATACAAGTATACTTCTAAAGTAACTCGAAATCAAACGAAAAATGAGTGTCTATAATATATTGTTTTATGGAAAATTCTACGACTATGATATAATAAATCCCATTATATTTACATATTTTATATGATATATTATATTATATTATATTGTACTATACAAAAGCTTCGCATCAGTTCGGTTGCGTTCGCTTCGATTATATTCTTTTATTCCCTCTACCCCCCCCCCCCCATCTCGTAAAGTCAAAGTCAGTAAACAATATTATAATTTATATCGAATTTGCATAAAACGTAAGTCGATACACTCGGGTCGTTATATATGTATGAGACAACTTTTGTATTAGCCGTACATGCATACATACATACATGCATAATATGTGCACCGTAGCAATGAATTCCGTTTGAAAATAGTTGCCGGAGAAAAGTTTACGGCTCGGTGTACAATAATATCGACGATAACTTCGGTGAATCTTGAATATACGCGCCATAAGCGCCTTATTGCGGGTTGTCCGCGTAGCTCGAGGCATATAATATATGTATTTCGATGTTTTTTCCCCCTCCCACCTACGATATATTTTCGTAAGTAAGTACATTCATTCGAAACTTCCATTCTATGTATATTGTTATTATTATTACTATTATTATTGTTATTATTGTTATTATTATTATTATTATTATTATACGGCTAGCCTAACCGGCAACGACTTACACAATAATAATAATAATAATTCACGTCGGAATTTTGTATTATATTATAATTAAATTATTTAGTATATATTTTATGCTTCTCTTGTTTTTTAAAAATATTTCTCGTAGAATCGAGTCCGGAGAACGTCGCTGTTCGTTGAAAATGAACAGTGAAAAAAGAAGAATATCACAATAAAATATACAATATATTTTACAGTATTGTACTGTATATTCACAGAACACATACACATATTAAAATTATATATAATAATATCCCTGGTGATTTAAATAAAGTAAGCGAACAATGTCGTTTATAAAGTGAAATCTATTTATAAGTAAAATAAAAACGAGTAAATAAAATAAATGGAATAAATAAAAAGAATCGAGCAAATAAATTATTTTTTGCATCACGAAATTGAACCTAAAATCCTATAAATTCACGTAAGTCCTCTTGCTATGCGAGATTGTTTATTTTCAAAAAACCTCAGTTATCACTTAAAGTTACAAAAGAAGTTTTGTCTCATACGTTCTTGTTGGCACACACATACACACGTTTTATTTTCAATAAATGTCAATACAAAATGTTTTGCTAGGTCAAAAAGCTTGAAAATGTAATAGGTTAAGGTAGCTCAAAACTTGATATTATATCTTTTTAAAAATACTTATGATAATATATATAGGTATACACGATTTTTTAAAAATATTTGTAGATCAAAATTGAACGGAATATTGTATTTTAAATAAACTATAACAATTTTCTTGTAAATACCTAATTCAAATATTTTATTCGTGGGAATACTAGAAACCTTTACGTACTTATATTATT